TGCACAGTGGGAAAGTTTTCTTTGGTAGGCCTGCTGGGGCTCCTTTTCAATTTAAATGGGTTTATTTGTTACTATCAAAATTGTTTATATTCAGGGACTTAGTGTTAGTCTATAGGTCCCCACCATCCTGTGTTTGTTGCAAGAGGTGACTAGTAGATTATGGTCAATCTCTGGTACTTGGTCAGCTCTGTGTCATCTTGAAAGCTTAGACTCTTGCTTATTTTTTCAGTCACTTGATCGTCTGGTCCAGATGTGATCATTTACAGGTTGCTGTCATTGTTGACTTTGCCAAGTTCTGCATTAAAAAACAAACAATTTTCAAATCATTTTAAAAATGAATTACTATTTGTGAGTCAAAATGATTTTTGTCTTAAATATTATGTGGCATATTCTGGCAACACAAATTCATGCAACTCCATCTCAAATGTCATGGTCAGTCCCTTGAGGTCAGTGTAATAATATCTCACAAGGACAAATCTATGGTCCAAGCAGCCATGTTGTTTGCTGACCACCAGAAACCAGGCAATGAGACTATGTCCATCTACACGCACTCAGAAGGGATTACACGAGCAAATGGAAGACAAATATATTGGGCCGGGTTGACTTTACTTCCTGACAGCCAGTACCAGCTCACGACTAATACCTAGGCTAGGTTTTACGACCACTGCAAATCTCTTCCTTCTTTGACCTCTGCCGACCTCTTGTGTCCAAATTGTACAAATCATTTTTCTCAGATCTTTGTTTGTTGTGCCCATTTGTTCGAATTTGTTGTTTGGGCTGCAATATTTTCTGAGTCGGCCGTTTCATTCACGGAAGAGGCACATGTTTGAGTTGGAAGGAACTGTTGTTCTGTTTACGCCCACCATTAGTGTATTACAAAGAGAGAACGACCACTGACGATTGTGGTGTCAATATATGTGTGTACTTGGAGATATTGGAAATTATTTACAAAACAAGCTTGTTTTATTAATTTTTTACCCATTTGTTGACATGGAGCTAATTTTTTTTTGGAAAATTATTTTAAATTTTCTTATTTTACGAAAATTTTGTTACATCAGGATATAAGTCTCAAGTACATATAGAAATGAAAAGAATCTGTGAAAATAGTAGCTAAGTATTATTTTGCTGGATTCATTGCTGAATTCATCAAAATGAAAATGTAACTGTCAATTTGTAGAGAGTGGTAACTAGACACAACTTTTCCAATTACAGTGCCAAACTTCAGGCTTAAATCTTTTGAGAACCGGACTTTTTCATATGCAGCCCCAACCTTGTAGAATTCACTCCCATACAATCTGAAAGTTTCTGATAGTATTGCCACATTCAAGTCATGACTCAAAACATACCAGTGTTTTCAATGTATTATTAGGACCTCTATGACGTGTACATATTGCTGTATAAATGTTGGAGACTCTGTCATTGTTGCGCCTTGAGCATATCTGCTGACATGGAAAAGGCGCATGAAGAAATGTTCAATATATATATACCAGTTCCAACCGAAATTAATTGTAATTTATTCCAATTGGCTTAAAGTGACTGATTTGTGAAACCAGTAGTAATACAGATTGAAAAAATAACATGAAAGACATTTTATCTCTTCTATTTGATATGCTGGTAGTTTATCATGGATTACAATAATGGTAAAAAATACAGATATTTCCTACCTGTATCCCAGAAATGTATACACATACTAAAGACTGGAGTGGTACAACAAATCATGGCGGTATTGTTCAAACACAACTGAGCTTCAAACATATATATCGTGCTATGACTGGTTGTCAGGCAAGCAGTTCTAAGACTTCTTCCGCATGGTTTTGAAGGTTTGGTTACGAGGAGTTAACACTTGATATCAACCGGGGTATAATATTTGTTTTACAATTGTTCAACACTTGGGTCTCCTGGTGAGATATAATTAGACGAGTATGAGCCTGATAATGCCCCCTGTGTTTAAAATACAAGGACTGGGAAGAAATAACATATGGTTAGTTTACGATTTAGAATAGAAAGTCAACAGAAGTTAAGTATGGCTGAATTTCAGGCTGTGAATACAAATTGTGTTTTTTTTACTTGGGATCAACAAGTTTTTTCTTCGTTGAATATAAACAAGATTCTAAATGTTTCTACGAGGCTGAGTGAACGATAATGGATTAGCCATTCTGAAATATTGATATTTTGCAGGAAAATTAGTTGTTTAATTATCTCAAATATAAAAGAAGCCCTGAGACTCGTTATAAAATTTCCAAAACTGTCAGTTGTCAAAACTTGCCAACTATTATAGTCTTGTGTGGGCATAGACTTGTTAACTACTACAGAATGGCATGGACTCTGATCAGTGTGTTTGTTTTATGTTTGTTTCTGTAGGACAGGTTAAGATTTGTAAGCAACAGTTATTTTGAAGAACACGATGATGTTTGTGAAGGTGTTCTGTCTAAAAAATTGTAATTTCTTGTTTGCAAATGAAAGCTGTTTGATTAATCAGGGTTTTGAAACAAATGTTGGAAATTCCAACAATTACTATGGTGTTGACAGGCTTAATACAAAAATGTGAACTGTTTGTTTAGACAAGGTAGTAGAAACTCGTGGAGCATTATTCATGTGACTTAGTGGGGATTTGTAACTACGTGCCATTGGCGGACAAACTGGGAAAAAATCGTAATCGTATTCATTGTTGTACGAGCTATTTAATTTGAGAACAGATGTGCTGGGAGATATAAAGCAGTTGTGTCCTCGCTTCCCCGAAGCAGTTTGTTTGTTAAACATATCAATGTGAGCAGACAGCAATGTTTTTAATATGTAGCCTCCATTTTGTCATGAGTTGTGGGACCGCCTCCGTGGTGTAGTGGTTAGAGCGTCCGCCTGGAGAGCGGTAGGTCGCGGGTTCGATCCCCAACCGCGTCATACCAAAACACGTTAAAATATGGTACTTGTTGGTCCCTGCCTGGCGCTCGGCATTAATGGGTACAACAAGGACTGGTCGGCTCGTAGTCAGTATAATGTGTCTGAGTGGGGTATTCATGCTTCACTGCGGCATGGTATCTCAGTGGGCTAGCACTATCAAACCAGCTTAAGTCTGGGCTAGTACAACAGCCGCACATACACATACACACGCATGCACGTCGTCATATGAGCGAAATATTCTCAAGCACGACGTTAAACCCAATTTCACCTCACCTCACCTCATGAGTTGTGAATGATTGTGATAGTTTGTATGGATCCGACAGCACCCAGATCATGTGAATGTTTGTTCATACTATCGAGACCTGTGAAGATCCAGGTTAGAATTGGTCTTCAGCAACCCATGCTTTTCGTAAGAGGTGACTAACGGGATCGGGTGGTCAGGCTCGCTGACTTGGTTGATACATGTTATTGTATCCCAACTGCGTAGATCGCTGCTTGTGCTGTTGATCATAGGATTGTCTGGTCCAGACTTGATTTGTTATAGACCGCCACCATATAGGTGGAATATTGGTGATAGCGGCATTAAAAAACAACCAATCATTCTATTAACTACTGGATAATACTGATCTACGCTCGACGTTGACATTGCTGTCCACAACTCTCTAGAAATATGCTACTCAAAATAAGTTAAAGGATATCAGTGCTAGATTAACCATAGTAAAATGAAAGAATCAGGTGTTCTTTGCTTCTTTGAGTAGTAGAAAATGATTCTTTCTAGAGACATTCTCATGATTTCGCCATTTGTATATTTTTCTCCAGCATTACCCTTATTATCCCCCGCAACGCGTTTTGCGGGGGGTATTAAAATGGACTCTGTCCGTGCGTGCGTGCGTCCGTCCGTCCGTCCGTCCGTCCGTCCGCCCGCCCCTCCGTGCACATTTGTCTCTTCCGGAGCAGAACTCTAAAACCGTTCAATATTTCTTCACCAAACTTAGCATATAGATAGATCTGGTGGTGAACTGGTGCCTTTTGGTAGTTTTGGAATTCGGAATAAAATATTTTTGGCTTTTCCATGGCAACAAGTTTGACTAAAACTGAAATTAGTGGTAGTGCTCTTTTCCAGAGCAGAACTCTAAAACCGTTCAGTTTCTTCACCAAACTTGGCACATAGATTGGTCTGGTGGTGTACTGGTGCCTTTTGGTAGTTTTGGATTTCTGAATAAAATATTTTTGTCATTTCCATGGCAACAAGTTTGACTTAGACTGAAATTAGTGGTAGTGCTCTTTTCCGGAGCAGAACTCTAAAACCGTTCAATATTTCTTCACCAAACTTGGCACATAGATAGATCTGGTGGTGTACTGGTGCCTTTTGGTAGTTTTGGAATTCGGAATAAAATATTTTTGGCTTTTCCATGGCAACAAGTTTGACTAAAACTGAAATTAGTGGTAGTGCTCTTTTCCAGAGCAGAACTCTAAAACCGTTCAGTTTCTTCACCAAACTTGGCACATAGATTGGTCTGGTGGTGTACTGGTGCCTTTTGGTAGTTTTGGATTTCTGAATAAAATATTTTTGTCATTTCCATGGCAACAAGTTTGACTTAGACTGAAATTGGTGATAGTGCTCCTTTCTGGAGCAGAACTTTAAAAACCTTACAATACTCTCCTTCCACTTTTCTATATACACACCTAAATATTTGACATAATCATAACTCGTAGACATAATCATGAAGAGTATTTTGCCATTGTGGGGGATTTCTTGTTTGAAACATATGGTGGGCATTTAAGATCATTTAGTGTATTAGAAAATAAAATTGTCATAAATACTGGATCTATGCAAAAGTCTTGCTCTTTTGTTGTTAATTTCTTTGATATGAGGGCGATGGGGTAACCTAGTGGTTAAAGCATTTGCTTGTCATTCCCGAAGGCCCGGGTTCGATTCCCCACACTGGTACAATGTGTGGAGCCAATTTCTGGTGTCTCCAGACGTGATATTGCTGGAATATTGCTAAATGCGGTATAAAACTAAACTCACTCACTTTGATATGAACTTCTCATGCCACATGCCAGAGTATATTTATGATATTTTTTTCATTTATTTTCAGCGAGTGTCCCAGTGTTCTTTCATGTCATATTGCGAGAGCCACGTACCTTCGCATAACGAAGCTCGATGTACGACCCTTCTACGTAGAAATAGATGACGACGATGACGACGACGATGACGACGACGAAGATGATGACGAGGAGGAAGTCAACATCACTGAAAATAATGGTAGCGGAACATCGCAAAACTCCGAGACCCTTGTACCTCGTAAGTTGTTCTCCGCAATCAATTTTAGTTCTGGAGATTATTCTATCCTCTTGTAGTGTTGCTATTTGCCTTTAGAGAATTTAACCTGTAAGTTCCAATAGGACCATCTGTAGTGTGATTATTTGTCCACCACTCTGCTCTCGTGGATGGAGAGAACCACACACGGCACCATGTACTACACAACCAAGCATCTTATATCTCACCCGTGAAGGTCCGGGTTAGAATGAACCTTCAGTAACCCATGCTTGTCGTAAGAGGCGACTAACGGGATCGGGTGGTCAGGCTTGCTGACTTAGTTGACACTGGTCATCGGTTTCCAATTGCGCAGGTCGATACTCTTGCTGTTGATCACTGGATTGTCTGGTCCAGACTCAATTATTTACAGAATACAGACCGCCACCATATAGCTGGAATATTGCTGAGTGCAGCGTAAAACTAAACTCACTCACTCACTCACTCGTGGATGTAGAGAACCACACACGCACACAACGGCGCCATATACTACATGACCACGCATCTTATATAGTATCCTCGAGTCATCTGTTTTCGTTCAACATCTGTTTTCGGTCGGCTGTTTGCGTGTTCATTTCTCGCGGTTATTAGCGAGATATTACGTCACCAGACAGGTTATTTTTAGCAGGAGGTCGACTGCTTCAGCTCTGACTAACAAAATGCTTCGTGTGAAATTGAGTAAGGTACATGATTGAAAACACATGTAAATGTTACGTTTTAGAACCGAGTTTACTAATGCATAAATTTTCATGTAATCAATATGCTATATCTAAAATATCGTCAGCTCCACTTTTTCAGTATAGCGTCGTCTGCTTGTTTATGGTATGACGTATCATTATCACATGACATATCACGTGGCGTTGCCGTCGTAAACAAATATATGGAAACTGGATAGGGTCATCTCTTATTACGATTTTCCAAAATACTCATTTAATTTTCGAAACTGCAATGAATATTTCTGTGTCATGGGCCCAGTGTACTCATCCTGCATGCTGTCAATGGGTCCACCTCAAGCTGTGCACCTCCGTATGTGTAGTGAGATCTTCTGATGAGTTTTGGTGCCCTTGTCAGAAGCGCGAACCCGGAGGTGAAACATGCCTGGACATGTGATGTAACTAGCGAAGTCTTATCATGATTAACTTTGACATGAAATTATACGACCATAGTTTCTAATAATTATTATTGGAACTATTACAAATATTCTTTTTGGACTGGATGTTTATTAACTTTTATTATAAAATATCAGCATAGCACGAATACTGCTATTAGATTTCTGTTTTACGGAGAACCAATGAAGTGAACGAAAACAGATGACGTCACTTCCGCATTCACGATCTTTGCGTAGCGAACTACGAGGCCTGCTGTGCGGATGAAACACGAGGTTAATCCGTCAGATATTTGAATATCATAAATAAATAACAAACAAACGAGGTAAGTTTGTTTATTATCGATTTATTTATGCACTTAATGTTACGTTGGTCGACAATCCTTACATGACCGAAAACCGAATACACAAGGATATTATATTGATAATTATTATAAATATGAACTCGTTATAGACAGGGGTATAGACATTAGTGTTCAGATTTTGAAGGCTTGTGGAGGGGGTTGTCTTATATAGAGGGTCGTTTTATATGTCGGGAGAAGGTTGCAGGTTCAGTCATTGTCCCATCATACCAAGATTCCAGCAATGTCTTGGCCGGGGACACAAGGATCATATAGGAGTTCCTGAATGTGATTTCCATCTAAGACTGTTGCTTGGTTACAATCTCAGTGGGTTAGCACTATAAACCCTGGATCAGTTAGGTCTAGTACAAGCAGACACAAACGTGAGCGTGCACGAAGCGTGTGCGTGCACACTGGCTACATAAATGCAATAATCATGAACATGACATTAAGCTCACTCTCGCCTCGCCTCGCCTCATCTCAGTAATTGTTTGCACACCTATGTTATGTTTAGAGTGACTTATGTGCAGGTATTTCCTATTGTCCAGATAATTCTATTGTTCAGGTAATCCCTATTGTCTATGCATGTGAGGGGAGGGGCGGTGGGGTAGCCTAGTGGTTAAAGCGTCAGCTCGTCACGCCGAAGACCCGGGTTTGATTCCCCACATGGGCACAATGTGTTAAGCCCATTTCTGGTGTCCCCCGCCGTGATATTGCTGGAATATTGCTAAAAGCGGCGTAAAACTAAACTCAGTCAGTCAGTCAGTCAGTCTATGCATGTTTGAAGTTTACCTTAAGTTATTTTTTGTTTCAGATATAGATTCTCGTCGCCTGTTGAAAGAAGTGATCAGGATTGTCCATGATATTTGTAGAGTATGGCAGCAGTCGTTCCCTGCACTACTTTTACCTCAGCACTCACTACAAGTGTGTTCCTACGCTATCAAAAATACTCGCCGCAAAATGGAGGACAAACATGTGATCATGCCAGATCTCAATGCACTCTTTAACCTCAAGGTAGGTGTCCGTCATTTCAAATTAAACATGACCCGTGAAGATCCGGGTTAGAATATTGATTGACACATGCAGGGATTGGGAAAGGCAGGGGCCATGGGCCATTTTGCACATTAGAATAAAAAATGGCCCATTAAAATTTTGAAATTTACTATTGAATAAGGGCAGTGTCCCATTCTAAATTAAGAAAATGGCTAATAATCCTGAAAATGGCCCATTGTCAAAGTTCTCTTTCCCAATGCCTGCACATGTAATCTGTTCCCAATTGCGCAGATGGATGCTCATAATGTTGATCACTGGATTGTCTGGTCCAGATTTGATTATTTACAGACCGCCGCCATATAGCTGGAATAAAACGAAACTCACTCACTCACTCAAATTAAACATAATTCCTTCAATGACCTTACCACTAAAATATCATAGCCATGACTTTTTGATTAGTCGAACACTGTAAAACTCTTTAGATTATTTCATCGACATCTTCTTCACTTTCAGTTTTCTAACCAGCAGTTGCTTTGGAAACAGTATCTAAAAGTTAAATCATACAATGTATCAAATTATACATACCTATTCCTACTTACATTGATTCAATGTGTTTGGAAGACTACATCTGACTCCGTTGTCTAAGGTAACACAATTTGCTGTGCAGAGTTGTATCCCTTAGGTGTGCCGGAATTCTATGGACTTGAATCTGAGATTCACTTGATCAGTTTTCTAAGTTTTGTCAACGCTATTCCCCCGCTTGGTCATTGTAGTGATAAACATATGTGACCTGAATCATGTAGGTTTTTCCTCACAGTTTAAGCTAATATGTTGTGTTGTTCTCAAAGTGGTTAATGTCGAAATTCCCCAAAGACATGTAAATAGAAATTGAGGGAATGATTGACAATGTTATATCATTATTTAGGTGTATGTGAATCTGTTGAGCTGATTTAAATCATTGTGTAGGTATATGTGAATCTGTTGATCTGATTTAAATCATTATGTAGGTATATGTGAATCTGTTGATCTGATTTAAATCATTGTGTAGGTATATATGAATCTGTTGATCTGATTTAAATCATTGTGTAGGTATATGTGAATCTGTTGATCTGATTTAAATCATTATGTAGGTATATGTGAATCTGTTGATCTGATTTAAATCATTGTGTAGGTATATGTGAATCTGTTGATCTGATTTAAATCATTGTGTAGGTATATGTGAATCTGTTGATCTGATTTAAATCATATGTGAATCTGTTGATCTGTATATTGTGAATCTGTTGATCTGATTTAAATCATTGTGTAGGTATATGTGAATCTGTTGATCTGATTTAATCTGTTCTGATTTAAATCATTGTGTAGGTATATGTGAATCTGTTGATCTGATTTAAATCATTGTGTAGGTATATGTGAATCTGTTGATCTGATTTAAATCATTATGTAGGTATATGTGAATCTGTTGATCTGATTTAAATCATTGTGTAGGTATATGTGAATCTGTTGATCTGATTTAAATCATTGTGTAGGTATATGTGAATCTGTTGATCTGATTTAAATCATTGATATGATTTAAATCATTATGTAGGTATATGTGAATCTGTTGATCTGATTTAAATCATTGTGTAGGTGTATGTGAATCTGTTGAGCTGATGTAAAGTATGGTGTGTCTACGTGAGTGACACCATGCGTCCTGCTGTCACACACAACTACTTGAGCTGGCGACTTCCTTGAAGGATGGAAATACGTGGCTGTTGTATCAGTGTGTTGTGTACATCCCTGGTTATACGGGACCCAAACCTCTGCATTCAATGCTAGTGGAGAGTGGATGTGACTTCCGTACATGTTAAATATAAAACTGATTGAATTTGTAGGTACAGACAGCATATATCATATGGTATGGGAAGTACTCTCAAAATGCTGCTTGGGTGGTGGGGTAGCCTAGTGGTTAAAGCGTTTGCTCGTGATACCGAATATCCAGGTTCAATTCCCCACATGGGTACATTGTGAGAAGCCCCATTTCAGGTGTCCCGTGCCGTGATGTTGCTGAAAGCAGCGTAAAACCAAACTCACTCACTCAAACTACCGCTGGCCCAATAAGTAAACCCAAACTGAAAATCAGGAGTTAGACTAACACTTAGTCTGTGATCAGTTTGATAGAAACAAATATACCCCTGTATATTGACACGTAGCCCCAGTGAGATGAGACTTTCAGAACCTGAGGGAAATCTAGACTTGCTTCAATTAGAGATTAAGCATTGCAGTAGATACAATAATTTGGTTCAGGGACTGTGAGACAGACTAATGAAGAGTCTAAAATGTTTTCATGCCCTTAATTATTTTTGGATATTAATATAATTTCTGATTGTCTGAGCAATTCAGGCTAGGACAATTAAGAATCTGATGGCCAACTACAGTTTTGGTAGCCACATGCCAGCAGGCAGCTATTTCACACCCTGTCACATCAGGTAAGAAATGCACTCAATATTCGGGGTGTAAGTTGTTAATTTTCTAAAACTGATGTGAAATTTGAATCCCAGTCTGAAATCAACTTAATCGGTGGTGTGGTGGCCTAGTGGTTAAAGCATCACTTGTCATGTTGAAGAACCGGGTTCGATTCTCCACATGGGTACAACGTGTGAAGCCCATTTCTGGTGTTCCCCACCATGATATTGCTGGAATATTGCTGAAATATTGCTGAAAGCAGCGTGAAACTAAACTCACTTACTCACTGTAATCAACTTAAGGATTCTGAACCAGTGCAGTGGTAGGACAAATGAAACATTCTTGTATGTCCAGCTCAGGATGTCAGAGTACCCTCAAACATTCTTGTATGTCCAGCTCAGGATGTCAGAGTACCCGGACTCAAACCTAGATACCTAAGTCAATCTCTGAGAGACTCTATGTCATAGCAAACATGACCGTCTGCTGATTTCTCCCTGGTGAAGCTGTCAAGGGAAGTAACTCTGCAGGGGTGTGGATACTGCACATCTTGCATAGGTTTTGAATGAAATTAAAAATTTAATGTCAGTGTTTTTGTAAATGTCAAATAGGGCGATTAAGGCTGGACTGAAATAGACAGGTCGAATTCCTATATGCTGATAACTGTATTTCAGTACAAGCAGAGATTTTGGCTGAGGAAGTGGTGACCTCCTCACAGAGTTTGTTTCCTGAATGTAACAGCCGAGTTGTTTTTGACCATATCTAATCTAAATATGGACAGTCTGCATGGGGAAGATGATTGATATGGACAAAAAATATGAATTATGAGGAAAGAAAAGAATATGATTAATATTTATCATCCAAAACTGCCATAAGAGATATATCACTTGGGTGAAATCCAGTGTTCTCTCCTAGGGGATAACGATCTATTAAAATTGCATCACAATGCTTGCCATGCCACAGGCTAATGACATCACTATTTTCTCGGCCAAAGAAGCTGTAATTTTTGCAGTCAAGACATTGCTTATCACTGTTTAACTTTTAGTATAATGTCAGTGTTAGGGCAAAAGCAGTATAATTGGTCTGTTTTCTTTTACAATAGTACTTGAAAAACATACTGCTTAAGTTTGGGAATATGTATTGTGCCTATATTTTTATAGTTTTCAGAGCTACAGAGAACTTTTTGGGCCATTGAGTTATGTACTCACTTGTGTTCATCTCAATTGGGTATCCTAATTTTCCTTTGAGTAACCAAATAAATTGTACTCAGCTCACTCAAACTCAATTGGGTATTTTGCCATTTTCCATTAAATTTGAAAATATAGTGAAGTTTAAAAGTTAAGTTTTGTTATTTATATTTGATCTGTAATATGAGAAACGGTAAGAAAGACTGCAAGTTGTCAAGTTCATGTCCTGAAATAGAACCTCTCAGTATACTTCAGTTATTTTATCTATCCACCGATACGCAAGCTACGATTTGACATTTTGTGTGCGAAAAATTGCATGTAAGATCACATTTATTGAGTATTAACAAAAATTTCAAGCGTGCTTGTATAGAAATAGAGTTTTCACATAAATATTTGCGTAATTTGCATGAATCTTTAGTACTATGCATATTTCATACACTTGTCTGTACCTCTGGTTTTTATCACATGTATCCAAAAATACAAATCCAATCTGGAGGTTTATGTTTGAGAATTAATGTATTGATGTATATATACTAGTTTTCATGAAGTAAAAGAAAGACTGGAAAACAGGAGAACTCTTACTACTATCAGTTTTAGCCAAACATGCAATATGACCAAATGGAGTCTGACTTGCTACTTTGACAACCTTGACAATGCATGTCATTATGTCCCAATTGCATAGATCGATGCTCATGATGTTGATCACTGGATTGTTATAAGTATTTACAGTCGTCATATAGCTAGAATTTGCTGTGGGCATAATTAAACAATAAAAAACCCATGTTATTGAAGACAATATAAATATTGATAATATTATTGATCCATACTGCAATGTGAAATGTTCACTGATGTACAGATGACATGGCAGGCCATATAACAATGAGCCATGATTCAGGGTATAAGAATGTCCTCCTCCTCGTGGGACAATGCTTGTCAGAGAAGTTGATTCAAATGAATCCAAGATAAAAAGTCTGTGAATCAAATGTTAAATTGAAAACACACACTTAGACAGGTATTTCAAGCCACAAATTCCTCTCACAGTCACCCCCAGTCTTGTGTTAGCCAAAGAAAATACACTCATAGATTTTTGTTTGACAGAAATCTACAAGATGGTAATCTCCATCAAACAAGGGTTGTCTTTGATGTTGGTAGTATTGTCTGCTGTGAGGTCCCTCGCCTGTGGGCACATGGCTGAACTATAGATGTTTTACCCAAAACAATTGTTTTGTTCAGAATAAAACGTCTTTGCTTTGTTTTTGTAGGTTGTAAGAAAACTTGGAGGTTTTACTTCTAGACTGGCTTTTCTTTTTGTAGTGATTGAATGTGCAGCATATCTGTCGTGTTTGTTGAAAAGTCCTAGGATGGTTTTCATGATGGTCTTCAAGTATATCGTTGCTGGGCATGTCAGAGTTTGATCATGCATGGTAACAAATCATAATTTCAGGAACTAGAGAAAGATGTGAAAGTCTCCAAAACAGGACAAATTATTTGAAGAATTATTTTAAAATAGAGTTTTAAAATAAAGTTTGTTGATGAACTCTTTAATGGAACCGTGACAGATTATGCCCCAGGACATGGACAGGAAGGTATACGTGGTGGCTTGGAGAATCTTGATCTGTACAAAGCAGATGATGTGTTTTTCCAGCTTCTGTATTCTGTATATTGATTCAGTCTGTGTTTATTTCTCCATGAAGCATAGACCCGACCACACCCTGTCAGGAATAGCAGAACCATGCCCCTGTGATGTTCTGCACATACATGTATATCCCATGTTCTGTGACTGTTGTGCAGATATATCCCTTAGACCGTCACTGATGAGCAAATATATCCCACGTTTGAGGTTGTTGTGCAGATATATCCCTTAGACTGTCACTGATGAGCAAATATATCCCACGTTTGAGGTTGTTGTGCAGATATATCCCTTAGACTGTCACTGATGAGCAAATATATCCCACGTTTGAGGTTGTTGTGCAGATATATCCCTTAGACTGTCACTGATGAGCAAATATATCCCTTAGTCGAGGTTGTTGTGCAGATATATCCCTTAGACTGTCACTGATGAGCAAATATATCCCACGTTTGAGGTTGTTGTGCAGATATATCCCTTAGACTGTCACTGATGAGCAAATATATCCCACGTTTGAGGTTGTTGTGCAGATATATCCCTTAGACTGTCACTGATGAGCAAATATATCCCACGGTCGAGGTTGTTGTGCAGATATATCCCTTAGACTGTCACTGATGAGCAAATATATCCCACGTTTGAGGTTGTTGTGCAGATATATCCCTTAGACTGTCACTGATGAGCAAATATATCCCACGTTTGAGGTTGTTGTGCAGATATATCCCATATTCCCTGCTCTGTGAATGTGATCCAGATATATCCTAGTCTGTGACTGTTTTGCAGATATATGTCATATTTCTTCTCTGTTAATGTGATGTAGATATATCCCATGTTCTGTGCTGTAGTGCAGATATAGCCCATACATATTACCCTTCTACCTGTTAATGGAGTTCAGATATACCCCTGTTCTTTTACAATTGTTCAGATATAAACCTAGTTGCACCAGCCAAGTTCCAGTTGCAACATAGTGTGTTAAAACGTCAGAGGTTTTGGTGCACATAAACATATTTCCGTGATGTAGTACCTATGAAACCATAGCAACACAGAGACACAGCTGATCCCTGTTTACAAGAGCTGTCATAGCTGAAACGTGTATATGAATAGCAATATTTCAGTACCATATCTATTCAAAGTTTAGAAGAAAGATTAGCTGACATATTTATGCTTATGATGTTTTATTTATTGTTGATTTATTTCTCAAAAATTGACTTGCACCTTGTGCAAGGTCAGACTCATAACTAGGTTGCACTTTGTAATATTGCGTTGCACCAGTGCAAGTAACAAAGCACTAAATCGAGCCCTGCCACATTAGTGTTATATCCCATGTTCTGAGACTGTAGTGCAGACATATCCCACAGAACCCTCTGGTAGCCCTGAGGACCGCCTCCGTGGTGTAGTGGTTAGAGTGTCCGCCCGGAGAGCGGAAGGTCGCGGGTTCGATCCCCGGCCGCGTCATACCAAAAGACATTAAAATATGGTACTTGTTGGTCCCTGCCTGGCGTTCGGCATTAATGGGTACAACAAGGACTGGTCGGCTCGGAGTCAGTATAATGTGTCTGAGTGGGGTATTCATGCTTCACTGCGGCATGGTATCTCAGTGGGCTAGCACTATAAAACCAGCTTAAGTCTGGGCTAGAACAGGCAGCCGCACATACACATACACACGCATGCACGTCGTCATATGAGCGAAATGTTCTCAAGCACGACGTTAAACACAATTTCACCTCACCTCACCTCTGGTAGCCCATTCACTACTCTGGGCATGGTGTGCACTACATCATATGCTGTCGGCTGCACGTTGATGGCTGAATGAGTCGTTCCTGATCTAGATGAGATCGCCATCTGGAGACTGAACTTTGACTCAGTGTTAGGCTTCAGGGAGCAGGGGTATATTCCGGTATTTATCTCGAACACACCCTCCTGTAGTCTTGGTGCACTTCTAGTGCAGCCTAAATGGATAAGCCACCTTGATCAGGTGTAATGGTTTCCTACAGGGAATATTATGAACTTGTTGGCAGACGTGTTACATTGAACTTGTAATGGGAAAAGGTTTACATATGGGGTGTGGTAACAATTATGTTATTAGCAGATACTTGTTGGCAACCTGTTGCTCAGTGGCTTTGTATCCCCCTGGCATATAATGCAATGGTATATAGTCAACACCTTGTCTGTCCGTCTGTCTGTCTCTCCGTAATCATTTCCGGAGCAGAACTCAAACAACGTTCAATATTTTTCAACAAAAATTGGTTAATATATCAAAAAGAAACTAATGTGGTGCCTTTTGCTATTTTCAGATTTTTGGCATTTTTATTTTTCTCAATTTCCATGAAAACAATTTTGATTTCTGATACTTGTTTTGTACGATCAATATTACACATATGCTCATGTAAAAATCTCTTTTATTTCATTGCATTTCCCAATTTTCAATTCTTCCTTAACGCTTCCAGGATGGTCCTAGTCAGTCGTACTACGCAGTGTTTGACGGCCACGGAGGTGTGGAAGCAGCTACGTACACAGCCAGCCATCTTCACTGCAACTTCATCCATGATAAGGAATTCAACAGCGATGTTGCCAAAGCTATCAAAAACTCCTACAAATTAACAGACGATTGGTTCTTGGAAAGAGCTAAAAGAGATGTCAGTAAAACTCCTCATTAGAAAAAATTATTTTGTATTTCAACCATATTTACATTATTACATCAGAGCTATAGAATTTATAAGCCAAGCGTGTTTCCTCTTAAAAAGTTATACATTAGGAATAAACATTGTATTATTTGGTGGTGTTGCTGTCACACGAGGGTAATAATCGGATTATTGTGTAATGTCTACTAAAAATAATCCCTGTTCAAGACCATATTTCACTCACTGCAGGAGTTTTAGAAATGTATATGATTACAGTGCTGTAGAGATAACCGTTCCATTGGTCTTGTAGTAGGAAATGGTGGTGGTCCGATTAATTGAAATAATTGAAGATTGGTCGCAGTGGCCAAACGACCAAGCAATCGATCACATTTTCTCATAATCGAACACTGGTTAAAGCGTTCGCTCGTCACGCCGAAGACCCGGGTTCGATTCCCCACATGGGCACAATGTGTTAAGCCCATTTCTGGTGTCCCCCGCCGTGATATTGCTGGAATATTGCTAAAAGCGGCGTAAAACTAAACTCAGTCATAATCGAACACTAACGATTTTGGAACCGCTGTAATAGAGTTTGAAATACTTGATGATAGAACATATCTAGGACGTTGTCAGGGCCTGAAAACGTGTTTATTTCTAAGAAAACTCACTTCACTTTCTGAAAAGTCATGACCGAATATTTCTTGAAGAATCTGGGAAGTTTATGTTACACTGGAACTGAATCATTTTACACTGGATGTGAAATTCGCAAATGTAATTTGTGCAGTTTCAAAAAACTACAACAGAGAACCAAATGTTTTTTCTTTATACTTTTCTGCAACTACAACCTGAATAGGAAAGTCTAAAAATGACGCGAACCAATTTTTTTCGATGATTGGTCGTTGGTATTGAACCAATCATCAATTGTGAGATTTCAACCAATTCCCAACACTAGTAGGAAATGATCAAAAATTGAAGGTTTTCATACACAAAAATCCACCAATTGAAAAACATCCATCTAAACTTATAGGTTAATTCTGTATTAATGAACTTTGGTGCTTTAAATAAAATGTTCTTGTTTTAAGGGAGACAACCTCAGTATCAATTTTTTTTCCTACCAGGTTTGACTTTTCCAGACGTTTTTGTTTACAGAATGCATGTTATTGCTGGAATATGTGAGTGTGTCATGGAAACACACAACCAAGATTTTGTGCTTCAAAATATACGTCAACTTGTATGTTTACCTGGAAAAAAAAGAAAAAGTAAAAAGAAAAAAGATTTTGTGCTTCAACTCATTCAGTACGACTTTCTTGTTTCAGAAACTACGGAGCGGTACAACATGTGTAACAGCTCTGTTACAAGACTCACGCATCCACATATCATGGCTGGGGGACTCACAGGCTGTGCTGGTGCGGAACGGCGGTGCTGTCACTCTCATGAACCCTCACAAGCCCGAGAGCCCGGTCAGTGTCCACCTTCATCTTCCTGACCAGTACACACTGGATTGTCGGGTTCAGAACTGGTGACTTACAATCAATGTCAAATAGCTGGAATGTTGCTGAGTGTCGCGTTAAACAACAAGTGAAATAGGAGGCAAATGAAATGGGAAAGGCGTTGACAAAAATGTTAACAGAGGTTTGCTTGAAGTGACATTGCCCCATCTCTGATCACTATCTCCACCCGTGAAGATCTGGGTTAGAATTGATCTTCAGTAACCCATGCTTGTCTCCTTGTGAAGATCTGGGTTAGAATTGATCTTCAGTAACCCATGCTTGTGTCCCTGTGAAGATCTGGGTTAGAATTGATCTTCAGTAACCCATGCTTATCTCCCTGTGAAGATCTGGGTTAGAATTGATCTTCAGTAACCCATGCTTGTCTCCCTGTGAAGATCTGGGTTAGAATTGATCTTCAGTAACCCATGCTTGTCTCCCTGTGAAGATCTGGGTTAGAATTGATCTTCAGTAACCCATGCTTGTCTCCCTGTGAAGATATGGGTTAGAACTGATCTTCAGTAACCCATGCTTGTCTCCCTGTGAAGATCTGGGTTAGAATTGATCTTCAGTAACTCATGCTTGTCTCCCTGTGAAGATCTGGGTTAGAATTGATCTTCAGTAACCCATGCTTGTCTCCCTGTGAAGATCTGGGTTAGAACTGATCTTCAGTTACCCATGCTTGTCTCCCTGTGAAGATCTGGGTTAGAATTGATCTTCAGTGACCCATGCTTGTCTCCTTGTGAAGATCTGGGTTAGAATTGATCTTCAGTAACCCATGCTTGTCTCCCTGTGAAATCTGGGTTAGAATTGATCTTCAGTAACCCATGCTTGTCTCCTCATGAAGATCCCGTTAGAATTGATCTTCAGTCATGTCATCGTATCCTAATTGTGTAGATTGATGCTTATGCTGTTAAACACTGGATTGTCTGGTCCAGACTTGATTATTTACATTGCAGCATTAAATTAACTCACTGACTGCTCACTACCTCAATGCAAAATGTCTCATGACTGTATTCATCAGTGAGCTATATCCAATGTCTTGTTATCAATACTGGGTGAACCTTGGGTAGCCTTATCATAATAGAATGGGGATGTAATACCACGATTTAATGAGGATGAATCTAGCTGGGATATAAGGTAAAACATTAGTCAACGATAACCATATTGTGAAGAGCAGTCACTTCATTCATGGTCTAGTGGACAGTGTGTCAGTCTGGAGAGAAGAAGGTAGGTGGTTTGACCCCTGACTGTGTCATACCAAAAGATGTGCAAATTCTTTCATTTTAATTGGACTCGTGAAGATCCGATGTAGAATAGGTCTTCAGCAACCCATGCTTGCCATAAAAGGCGACTATGCTTGTCGTAAGAGGCGACTAATGGGATCAGGTGGTCAGGCTCGTTGACACATGTCATTGGTTCCCAGTAGAGCAGATCGATGCTATGCTGTTGATTACTGGATTGTCTGGTCCAGACTCCATTATTTACAGACCGCTGCCATATAGCTGGAATTTTGCTGAGTGCGGCGTAAAACTTAAACTCACTCCCTCATTTTAATTGCGATAACTGTAACATAATTTTAGGGCAAAGATTATTTGGAAAATATAGGCCCAGGATTTGTACAAGCGGAGAGACACATAAAAACATCCCCCTAAATTCCAGCTTCAATAGGCATGATGTGTGAAGTGTAATCGTGTGTAATTTTTTATGTCTTTCAGGATGAGAAAGAGAGAATTGAAAAGCTTGGAGGAGTTGTGTTGCATTATGGGACCTGGCGGGTAAATGGCAACATTGCGGTGTCCAGGGCGATAGGTAATTAAAGAAAGACTTAACATACTGATTCTTTAATATTGTCCCTTTCAAACCTAATATTGACAGTATCATTGATTTAAGACCCTCCATTTGATGTTCTTAGCTGTGTCTTTTTCAAAGTCCAGTGAACAGTGGAAAAACAAATAATTTGTTTCAAGTATGTAACACTCGAAAAGCAAAATGGAAAAGACTTTCCATAGCCGTCTCTAGTGTCCCTTGTTGTCCTGGCCTAGTGGTTGTCATCACAAAGACCGGGTTCGATTCCCTACGTGGTGACAATATGTGAAGCCCATTTCTAGTGGTTAATGATATTCCAGGAATATTGCTAGCTGACATTAAACCATCACTCACTCATTCATTTTGCATGAATATGGCTTTAAGTTTCTTGGAATCATACTCAGTTATCTGTGTCAAGTAAATCAGTTTGAAATACTTGTGTGAATTCGACCCATTCACATACACTTGTTCTGGTTTCCATGGTTTCCATTCACTATAGCAGTGTATGAAGCCCCTTCCTATGTCTCCTGTCCTGATATTTCTGGAATATTGCTGAAAATGTCTAAAAATATAACGACTCACTTACTCAGCTCTTCTTGTTTTAGGCCCGTGAAAGATCCGGGTTAGTCTTCAGCAACCCATGCTTGTCATAAGAGGTGACTAGCGGGATCGGGTGGTCAGGCTCTATTTCTGACACATGTCTCATATCCCAATTCAGAAGAAGCTCATGATGTTGATCACTGGATTGTCCTCAGACTCAGCTGCTATATAGCTCACTATTGTTCACCTGCAGCTCAAAACTACTCACTCACTCACTCACTCACTCACTCAAGCTCTTGACCAACTTCAAGACCAGTCTGCAAGTAATCTTCACTCACTATTTCTGAACTTTTACTGAAAACATATAAGCCAACTTAATCACTCACTCACCCTAAATGTTTGATTCCAGGTGACGTTAGTCAGAAACCGTACATTAGCAGCGATGCCGAAGTCTACAGCTTTGACCTTGACGGTAAAGAAGACTATCTGGTGTTAGCATGTGACGGAGCATGGGATGTTCTGACATTCGAGGACTTGCCGGAGATAGTGTACAATCATATTCAGGAAAACCATGGCGATCGCAGCACAGTTGCACACAGACTTGTCAACTACGCCAGAGATAATGGGTCCAATGACAATATTTCCGTTATCGTTGTGTTTCTTCGAGATCAGATCTCGGCTCCCAAAACAAACAACGCAAGTATTGATCGTGTTAGAGCAAATGGTTCTGAAGGGAAGAAGAGACATGGAAGTGGATCCGATAAATCGTCTCGTCACAGTAACGGGAAAGGAAACTTAGAACCCAGTTTGCGAAATTCAAACAAACAAAGCAAGGAACGTATCTCCAAAGATAACGAAAGTCGTTTAACTCAGGAATTTCATCATCAAGAAGATCATGTGAAATTGCATTTGAAACAAAACATTTCCACGCCAGACAAGGGGAAGCAGGGAAACAAGTCTAGTCAGGACTGGTTCTGGAAGTCGGTGCATTCTTTCTTGACTTTCTTAAAATTGTCAAATCGAAATGTGTCTACAGAATCCGAAGACAAGAAAAACATGCCACATGATAGAAAAACAGAAAAAGAAACAGCTTTAAGAAGTTGTTGACTGTCCGTTTTAATCCCCTATTTATTTATCCAGAGTTCTTCGACAAGTTTATAGTCTTGCTTATTGATATTTCAAAGCAAAACAAGCCTCAATATGAAATTATGGGGTTGGGGGAACTGTGTTTCTATTGACCAATGAAGTCCTAGACTTTTCTGGGACCCTATCTACCTCAAGGGAACCAAGAGAAAACCAAGGCAGCAAAATGAAAGCATCCACGAACAAAGGGAGATCACTCCACACTAAGGGGCGATAACTAACAATTCTAGAACAAAGGGAAGTGGCTATAGTGAGCGAGCCAGATTAATCAGGAAGGCATTTCGCTTGATTGTTTTCACAAATGTGTGCAAGAGGGCATTTTATTAGATAGTTAGAAAGCCTTGTGTAAGCTGACCTACAGTCATGGGACATAAGTATCCGTCAGTTGGCAAAATTCTCATAGACTTGCATGTTATTTTAGTGTAGCTGTAATAATTTTCATGAATTCAGATTTTGTTATTTGGTTGTCAAATTGTGCAGGTTGTTAGGAAATCATCTTGGCCACAGAATTTCCAATTACATAATTTCCATGAAATGTTCCTTCATGTACTTTCCACTTTGTAGTTACAATACCAACATATATACAACATTCTGTATTCTTTCCCCATAGACCACCATATTAAAAATTGGGGGGGGCGCTGGGGTAGCCTAGTTGTTAAAGCATTGGCTTGTCACGCCGAAGACCCGGGTTCGAATCCCCACATGGGTACAATGTGTGAAGCCCATTTCTGATGTCCCCCGCCGTGATGTTGCTGGAATATTGCTAAAAGCGGCATAAAACCAAACTCAGTCAGTCAATCAGTCATTAAAAATTGTCATAACCATGACACACATCAATCAAAGTGTGGTCATTCTTGAAGTACTGAATGGAAAATAAAACGGAAATTATGTCTTTGCTGCTGAGATGATTCAAGACACGTGTGAAAAATATGACTATGATCAAACGGAAAATATATTCAAGATAATTTTTCTAACTGCACCAACTTAACATGTAAGTCTATGGAAATTATGCACAGTGACGAATACTTATGTCCACTGACTGTATAAGAGTGAGAAGCTTCTTCATGCTTGTTTAAATTAATTGTATTTATTCTATGGGTACTATTTAACTGAATTAGTTTCTTAAGGAATTCATTCTTCCATTTCTTACAATGTATGTTTGTTGTTTGATTACAAATATGTCTTTTTGTTTGCATATTATTTTGGTCAACAAAATATCTTTCGACTTATACAGGGTAGCGACACATGCTCTTGGATGTAGTATGCAGCTAATGTGTCGTCTCCAGACAAACAGCTCTCGGGCAAATTGTAGTGTCGAATATTAATTTGGAAATGTTAAAGTTTCTGTGATTAAGTAAGATGAACTTGTTGTATTTTTAACTCATGGGTGATTATTTTGAAATGATTGAGGATTTATATTTTCTTTGAAATTGAAAATTAGGTTTTCGTACAAAATGATGTTTATTTTTTAATCAACATATCATAACTGGAACTGTTGTTTTGTGTAATTTCGTGTGTTTTTTGTTTGTGAGATTAATATCCATATGAACGTGTAGTAAACAGATGTGTTTCTTTGATGAAAGATGAATAATGTTGCTGAAATGTGTTTCATCGAACAATGTTTATAAAGATGATAGATGTATCACATGTTTTAACTCCACAGGGTCTCTGTATGATATAGAATATATAACAGTATCTCTGAACCACAAATAACAGTCCTGGCTGCCGAAATCGCACCCTGAAATTGGTCAGTGAGTGAGTGAGTGCACGTAGTTTTACGCCACACTCAGCAATATCCTGAAATTGGTAATCATTTAACAGCTGTATCAATTCTGGCCGTCCTCCTATGTGAAACTTCCATATCCGAATCATTAGATATGTTTAAGCAGATTTTGTTCAGGTTGGTTAATTTTATTGTCAAAGTGAGATATTTTCACAGAAAGAAATGACCTGTTATGAAATGTGAGTTTTTGAGTTGTCATAGTAATAAGAAAAGTAACAGTACTGAATCCTGATTGTGTTGTCATGGTAACTGTACATTTGTCAAGGTAATTTGCTTATTTTCCATATGAAGATATGGATGGATTGTGTGGAATTGTTTGATGAGAGGGGGATTTGCTCTACATAGTAAATGATATGTATCATTATATTTCACAATCTCTGTACCGTTCTTCTGATGTGTTTGAATTTGTCAAGCAAGTCTGTAAGTGTTATTCATTAATCATGAAAATACATAACCCAAGATGTAGATGTCAGCAAATTTTGATTAACAGACAGGATCGTGTCTTGTCTGTATTGCCAGTGTCACTACAACTGATATTTTGTGTATGTTTTGAGCTCAGGGAAGTTGCTAGGAAGTCCGAGATGAATGCTAGAATCTGTAGAATATATGCTTACTTGTTCCTTTGTACCTCTGGTATCTCCTCCTGTATACAATATGAGATGGACGTAGGGCTGTCAGGATGCAGGGTCGTCCATGCTGTGGTAAAGCCATCATATAGGCCGCCATCCTCGCATGTCAGGGAAGTTTATCAGATTGACATGGGTACTGTTCATCCTTGATAATCTCCAGGGTATACGTTACGATAACTCTCCACTATACCCTGGATGCATCTACGGCCGCCCGATGATTTTATTACCTCCCTTTGCTGGCTCCGCATTCTCACAGTAGCCTTTCAGCTAAGCAACCGAACTTGCCAGTGTCAACAAAGATAGTGGTCGCAGCCGCGAAGGTTTGTTTCGCAGTGCGACTCAGATTTTTGGGAAAATCATACATACAAATTTACAGGTCTGAAACTTAAAAAAATACATGCAAGAACTCCTTCAACCTCTGCATCAATTGCATTGCCAAGTTTAATCGGTTAGATAATTTAAGAAGCGAATGTGAGTTGTGATTGGTCTGCTCAACTTCCCAGCGTAGACACCTGATTGGATAAGAAGCCAGCCAAGGGAGGCAATAAATTTATCTGGCGGCACTGTAGATGCGTCCAGGGTATAGTGGAGAGCTATTGTAACGTATACCCTGGAGATTATCGAAGATGGGGTACTGTTGTGTAAAGGAATTTCGTAACTCTCATGCCGTAACATAGACTTACGATCATTGTAGCAGAAATGTTTGTTTCATCAGCACCTGATCCTGAGTTAACAATCTGACTGTGGATTTTCATGTTCCGTATCTCTGGGAGAGTTTGTGGCATTGATGGCCAGTTTCCAGGGATCGTAATCAGGAATACCCTGGATTGGCGAGGATGGTTCAAAGAGTGATATTTATATATATATATATATACCCAGTTATGAAACTGATACCTCTACTACAAATACTATTGAATTCTATTATCAATCATTTATCCAGTCTGTAATTACAGTTAAAAATTTGGAAATTTTGATGTGTATAGTACATTACATAAAATGGATATGTTCATGGAGATGAGAAAAATATCACATTTATATAATATTAGCAAGATGATATATTGGTATATATATATATTTACTGATCAGCGTTTGTATACAACTGAAGGGTTCTTGGTCAATATTTATATGCTCCTGTAGTACTGTTATGTTGAAGCTGTGGATCCTTGACACACCAGACATTGGTCATATCGGTCAGCATTCTTACAGTTCCTACAGAGCTGAGCAGACTCACACAAAACTGACATAATACTCTTAAAGAATTCATGATCGGAAATCTTTGTAAACTTTTGGATTCTGGAAAAGTTGGTTATTTTAAAAAAAATTATGCAACTGAAACTTTGCTTTCATATATAATTGGTTATATTATACTGAAATAGATTTTTTTTAAATATTGGAAATGCTGAGTATCCTGCGATCTTACTTGTCCTTGGCAATCTGGGAACAATGGTTATTTGGAAACCCTGGTTACGCCAGACCAATTTTATTTCTTGTTTTATGGATTTTTGTCCTCAGAAAACCTAAAGGCAGGAGGGAAAAAAAATCATATAAAAATCACTAGTCAAAATACTTTCCCATTTAAATACTAAAAGTATTTTATTTTTGGCAATGTATGAAGTTTATATGGGGCAAAAAACAATCAAAATATTTTTTGGGTTAGTTTACATTTTTGGCCAGTAAAAACATGAGGGTTTTATTTTTTGAGCGGGGAATTTTTTTCCTTATTCTTAAAAAAATAGGACCAGCGGATCCGTAAAACAAGAAATAAAATTGGTCTGGCCTAATTGAAATAATTAGTAGTCTGCTATTTAGGAACACGTAGATTAAATGTAGATTGCTCACTGAATGTACGGCCATGTTTGATGGAGTTGAAGTGAGTTGCCACAGTCCTAGTTGTGTTTATGTTGCTTGTTATAGTTTAGTTTTGTGTGTTGTTGATCTCATTATATGGCATTTATCTTTGTTGTTATGATTTATAATACTCCATATCTCCCACAACCACGGCTGAGAAGCTGTGCGAAATGTTGCCATGGCCGCAGTCACTGTCCTGACTTATCCTGTACAGAGAAGTTGTGGAGTTTTCTTCCTAGCTCATTGACCCTGACCTTGCATCTTATTTTTAACGTGTTTGAGGAGCCATGATGTTAGTGAAAGTCGCATTGTAGAAACAGAGTAGGATTTTTGTGATGGACGACTCAGTGTTCTGATTTTTGTAATTCACTGTGAAGAGTTATGTCCCTTGATAATTTGAGGATCTGCTTGTTAAAGGTTTGAAACCATCAGATCAGTGAAGATAACCTATGTAACTTGAATCAGTATGGACTTCGATGTTGGATATGACTAAATGTCATTAAGATCAGGTCATTTAATCTGTTATTTTACCTTTTTGCATCAAATTACACCTCCAAAGGCCGTCATTTTAGGTGAACTTCCAACTCAGCCAATCAGCATGACAGTGCTTGACAGGAAGGATGGAAACATTCATGCCATGATATATGATTCTTGTAAACATTTTTTACCAACAATTCCCAAATGTACTCAATGAACGCTGTGCCATTGTATTGCCATTTATACTCATGATTTTTTCAGAGCTTTACGGCATCGACACCAAATATGGTGTCCTCCAAAATTCACATTAGAGTTCTGTCATGAGTTTTCTTTTGTTTAATCATTTTCTCTGAATCGAGGTTGGTAAAGAAATGAATCCAAACTGTTTTAGGAGTTTAGTGTCTGAAGGACAGGAGAAGAATACACACATCTTCAATTACATCGTACGATCAAAGTTCGCACAAGATTCACTTAATGCGACCTTCCATGGAAGGATCCGCATATCTTCATGCAGAGAGGTATCGTATTGGACATGATGTTGATGAGTTTATGAAACACTGTAGTCTCAATAGTGTTTGATTAACCAGTACGACAGGGTCACTGAGCTAGTTAAAATAACTTACACAAATTCATGCTGTCTATGGTGAAATGTTTTTTCAAAGACAGGGTCATTGAGCTAGTTAAAATAACTTACACA